CGCCCCCGCCCCGCACCCCCCCGCAGATCCCTATATCCAGAACCGGTATAGTCTGTCTACTCATTATTTATTAGTTATCCCTAACCACGGCGGCAAGGATATCGACCCTGAAAAAACCTCATTGACGAACTCAAATTTTGGACCTGACGAGACTCGAACCTACGATCTTTCGCACACTAGTCCTACGCCATAACCACTAACCTAATACCTTTGACTTTTACTTTTAACAGTTTTTATTAACATTATTTACATTCTTACAATAATATGTACAGTGGTGCTGCTTATTATCTAGGTTTCCAGCCGGTGACTCTATATCTAATATTCGGGAAGCGTGCTTAACATTTTATGTAAGAAGAGAGTGTAATGTTAACAGGGAAGAGGGTAAATAGGGAAAAGAATTTAGAAAAAACCCTATGATAAATGGTTACCTTTTAGATTTGGGACTGCGGGAAGGGGTGGGGTATTTTAAAGGGGGTCAGCAATGTGACCAGCTGGATTTTTTATGGATATTAAGTGATGGAATTTGTTGATTTTCGTGAGTTGCTAAGTTGTATTCAAAATTTGAAGTTAGTCTATTGATGTATGATTGGATAGATTCTATGTTCAGTTCATTATGAATTTTTAGGATGGAATTTCTAAGATTAAAGTTTCCTATGATGCGGAGGAATTTGTTTTGAGAGATTTACAGTTTACTTAAGTGACATGGAGCTGCCTTGAACCATATCGGACAGCCGTATGTGACTACTGGTCTAACGAGACTTTTGTAGAGTGTGAGTTTTAGACTCGTGCTGAGAGCGGAGGCTTCAAATAGGAAGTAAAGTCATGCCAAAATGGCCTTGACTTTGTTATTGCAAAAATTTATATGATTTTACCAGAATAGTTTATTGTCTATAAGAAGACCTAGGTATCTGACAGTAGGGGAGGGGGTGATTTCCTGTCCTCTTATTTTTATTTTTAAGTTACACTTGTTTCTTTTTTTGGTAAATATTTTCCATTTGTTTAGTTCGTTGATAGTTAGCGCGGCGGTATTTACCAGCCTGGAGATTGCTTTATCAATTGAAGTACTGGAAGCAAAAAGTGCGAGATGGGCGGCGAAGCCAGCGATGCTAACATTTGTTGGGACTAATTCTCCAACTAATTAATCATCACTATTAATGATCGAAAATACTTTCGGCAAATAGTAATAATAATATTTCTATCATTATTAACGATATCTGGCATGTAGTACCTTCACTTTAAGAACACCTGACCCGACGTAACAGACAACTAACTCATCCGCCATGCCATATTTGAGCCAGATCAAGGCCTGACATAGAAATCATATAATATGTTTTAGATTGGCCAGCTGTATATGGTCCTCTCTCCCTCCGGAGTCCGTGATTTTTAACTAATCTGTCGGGATTGCCTCCTTGAGGCCAGCAACATTTTTGATCAAATTGGGGAATGAAATCTGATTAACATTGTCAATCGTTTAAAAGGTTATGATCCAAGAAATTAAAGTGACTGATAGTTCTTTAGAAAACATTCAGACCCTCCTAAAATATTCGAATGTATGTTAAACCTAGGGTATCGCTCCACCACTAATATATGAGTTTGTCGAATTTCAAACGAGACTAGATAATAATTTAGATAGACTAATAGTTACAATAATTAGAGTTGAGTCTGAATAATTTCATGAATATACAGATATATTAAGTATGCAGAACGTTGCGATAAAATTCACAATGATTCGTAGGATAAAATTATACTACTTATCTATTCAGCTGCTCTGTGAGGAAAGAGGATGAGTCTTTCCAAAAGGTGTCGAAGTCCTGTAATCCCCTCTCTTATGATTGGCATTTGATTAGTCGGAGGAAATAAGGTAGTAAGGTTCTATCATCACCTTCTGCTATATATAAACATATCAAAACACAACAACATACACTGGTCTAAGCAAAATTGAAAAAAAAAACACTGACCTGACTGAAAAACATGACCTTCTCCGCCTTGCGCTCATCCACAGTACTCCACTTTTTTCTTATCGTTGAGTTTTTTCACAAAAAATATTTCCCAAAATGCATACCATATCCTCTACCATACTCGCTCTTTAGTGATACGTCACTCACCAGCTCGTATGTTTAAACATGTAATAATAATAACTCTATGGCTGAAACTGTATTAATTAATTTCAAGCCTGTACACATGTAAATGATGTAAATTATATATATGTAAAGCCAATGGTAATTATTCAAAACATAATTCGAAGGTCTCCTTATAGGGTTTTTACCAATTTACTGCTTTTCCCTATTTCCAACCCTTCCCTTCAATCTGCGCTATTCTGTAATTAATTATAAACAAATCTGATGTAAATATAGGTATAAAGCCAATGGCTGGCGACCTAGCTTCTTAAGCATTATTTATATTTATATACTTTGTACAACACAATTGTATATACCTGCTTATCTCAATAAATACTTGTTAATTGTTAATTGTTAATTCGAAGGTAGCGTGGCCGAGCGGTCTAAGGCGCTGGTTTAAGGCACCAGTCTCTTCGTAGGCGTGGGTTCGAATCCCACCGCTGCCAATTTTTTGCCCCAGATAGATATATTCCATCGCAATTTATGGATTTACTACGGAAGAAGATATGCCAACCTTCTTCTAATTTTATGATTCATGCAATTTTTATGTCAACTTTGTCGACTCCCTAACGACTATCAATATTGAAGATTCCCAAGTCTTCATTTGGTCACTAACTCCATTCGCAATTTGAAAATAAAATCAATTCATATTTCATATTTGCGGCGGCTTAATTCTGACAGAAAATTGACAGCACCAATATTCGAACCTCAAACAAAAGATGAATTCCCCGACGGTCTGATGAGCATTCAAAGAGGAACCCATAGTGCCCTAAGGGCAGTCCAATTTACAAACGATCCAGCTGAGGAAAAACCTATAGCAATCGATTCTGTAGTACAGCCTACAAAATGACATTATAACTCAATCTTCCAATTAACAACTGCTGTAATGAAATATTCTCATTGCTTTCCGATCCTTTGTCATCTAATATCTCGTGTTTCCCATACATGCCACAGAATTTCTCTTCGACGAATCTGATCTTCTTTTCACGGATGTATCTACTATATTTAGTCATTACACTGACTGAGAAATTAATTTTTTTAGAATCTTTATGAATACATGTCGCTAAGTTGTTCAACACAGTAAAATTTTTGGATAAATACTGACTATGTTCATGGCAATGTTCGTATAATCTGAATCATTGATATTTCCATCCCCAAATTTTCTATATTTCTAAACTGTTAGCAAACATCTCCGAGTGACGTAAGATAAGTTAACTTACATTTCACCCCCTTTTATGAAGTCTTGAAGGAAGTCGAAGCTTGGATAAGTGTAATAACGGCTAATGACGAAATGAATATGTCTTTTGATAATTAATACGAATGCCTTTCATCAAAATTAAATATTTGAATATGCTTTAGAACTAACCAATCCTAAATTTCTTCTTATTTTCATAAATTATTTCCAATAACTTCAAATTTAACTTATATAATGTCTGCATCCAATCCAAAACTAAATTGCAATTTTTGGTCGGAAATTTTATACAAAATTTTTAAATACTGAAAAAAGGTATAATTGCTAAATGTCGCAATGTATTAAAAACATATTCATCACATAAGTCACTCCAACCAGCGCCCTGCAATCACGTGATCCGAAGTTCAAAGACGTCCAGATTACTAATATTAGTCAACGGATCGTGATAACGCCATCAGACGAATTTACGAGATAGGGTCACAGTCCAAAACTGCGATTAAACCATCACAAGAACACTTGCATAAGTGTTCCAGTGACTAAAGCGTGTGTAATCATAAAAATATTTCTCCAACCCATTTAAGAGCGCTTCCAATTCTTCATTTATCATTCGCTTATTCACGAAACTCCAATAACTCAATCATTCCGGTTTTTCGAATTGATGAATATTTTGTGCGTCTGTGTAATAATCGCCACCAAATAGCCACATATTGGTAATCAGTAATTTGAAAACTTCATTAGACCACGAACAAATTTCGAATCATTCCTCTATGATGACTCTGGAACATTCCAACTAATTATGCAAGAAAAGATATGAAGTCAGTGCAACACTAGTGATCACTGAAGTGAGAGTTCAAGGGGACAAGTGAGTTTTACGCGGTGATTTTTATAATAGATATCGATGACATTGCTGCATACGTCACGAAGGATTTCTCCTATAACGTCAAAGTGAACGTGAACTAAAGTTATAGCAAAGGGGCTATTATCAAACTAAACTCGGCAATTTACAAATACACATGTCAAATGGAAGCAACCTGGGAATTAGATAGGATTCCTCTCGTTATGGCTCATCTTACTACATTTTAGAGCGAATATATCTAACTAGAACGAGATTGTACCACCATTACAAAAAGTGGAATCATGACAGTGAAGATCATCCCAGTTTCTCTAGGCGAAGAAGTTAAATTGCATCTGTTATCGTTCATCTTTGGTATTTATTTAATTATTGTGAGAATGTTCAAATGGGCATGGAACCCTAAGAAGTTCTTCGGAACGATGAAGAGAGATAAACCACCTCCTTGCCTTATTGACGACAGCCTTGGAAAACATTTTTACGTAAAAGTAAAGGTAAGTCATTATTGAAGATATAATCATGACGTGAGATGAAAAAAGTGTTTATCCGGAAGCAAAAAATTGTTAGTTCATTAGCAAAAAGATGCACATATTTATTTCTGGTTCATACAGAAAAAAGGAAAAAGTTCTCCTAATCGCAGCCACGTAGGGAAACATGGTGATTTATTCCGTGCATTATTTTTTTTCTGGTGGAATCGTTGTACAGTGCTCGTGATCGCACGGTCTCATGCTACCCCTGATCTCTATATAAATTATTGAGGCTCTAATTGTAGGACACCTAACGTTATTACGAATGTTGCCGAATATTCGTGGGGTGGGGGTAACATCAGGAGGTGCCGCATGCACGTGATTGAAATGCGAGGGCAAAATCCTTCGCATCTTTTTAACGTGTTTGGACATTTCCTTTTTGATTAAAAAAATGGAAGTTATGGCCTGGCGTAGTGGTTACGGTCATTGCCTCACAATGAATAGGTTCCAGGTTCGATTCCTGGCCGGCTAGAATGGTGAGATCTAACCACCCGGGTAGAAATTTTGTCAGGCGTCTCACAAGGTCTTTATAAGGCTAGCTATCTTAGATCGTAAGGCCCTCATAAGGTTGCTTGGTAAGGTCCAGATCAGGGCTGAAACGCAATGGTGGGCTAAGGTCCTTATCTGGTCAACTTTATCAGGTCTTTAGAAGGTTTACTTGATCAGGGCCTTGCGTTTCTTTTATGAAGAGGTCCTTATCAGGCAGTCTTATAAAAACCACTCAATATCGACTTTAGAAGGACCTAGGAAACGTAAGGGCCACACAAAGATACCATGATGTGGCCCCGATAAAGGACTCTTTATAACAACCATACGATGTTTTATATTATTTATTACTTGAAGTATCAGAACATTGAAAAACAACCGTTTTTCATAGACTTATAGAAAATATTATGTCATAATTTAAGTGGTCAAGTTGGAATATCAACCACATCGTTGATAATAAATGGAATGAATTAGAAATGATATTCAAACAAAAAAAAAATAATTTTCCATCGTGAAGATGATAAAATATTTTAAAAAAAACAAAAATAAATTTTCATTCTTTTTTATCCTTAACGTAAATATTGGCTCATTAATTTTTTAACCACGACGAAATGCTCTTCCCCCATCCCAGTCCTTCGCTGAATTCAACGATGCTTTCAGATGAACTCTGAATTTTTGTTCACTCATGTTTTCACCCAGAACACGTGTATGAACACCTAAAAATAAACCCAAAAACCGGAATTAAAAAAATACGAAGGAATGGATTTTCCATTAATTATCTTCCAAAATTTTTAATTAAAAATTTATGCATGACATTTTATACGCACTCAGCAGACATTTGTAGAAATGTGTATCTTTCAAAGGAACCTTCTCATTCTTGGCTCTTACGCTAGTAAATGTTGATAAAACGAGCTCCTTCTTCAAATACACGCGTAGGATGGTAGATAGGTGATGGGTATCATAATTCCGTTCTCTAGGAATCATATGCTTGATGCGATTTTTCTGTGAAAACAATGCTCCATGCTAATTTGGTCTGGATGTATCAAGTTAGGAATTCTTACTAAAAAATGAATGATTGATAAGAAAAACTTACGATTCTCTGTCTGTATTCTTTATCCTCTAGAATTTCAGCATCGAAGAGAGCGAAATTCTCTCGTCTAGGAGATTCACTTTGTTTTTTAGATGATCCAGTATTTTCAATGGATGTCTTTGCACAAGAATCCAATTCATTTTCTTTATTTCGATCAATACTATTTGACACCATATCAAAGGAAGCATCGGTTAATTCTTCGTGAACCGACTTTTTTGTTAGCTTCTTACTTGTAGACAATCGATTTTCCTCAGTGAAAATCCTCTCTACTGATGACTCTCGGTCAGTGGAAAAAGCATAATTATCATAATGCAGTTTATCCGCTGCACTGGCCATGATTTGTCGACCGAAGCACGATTTTTAACCATTCTGTGCAAATGGGAAATAGATTTTGCTGTGAAAGGACCCACTGGGAAATAGCACATTTTACTCTCATGTTCTTCTGAGTCGAATATCCATGTAGATGGTACAACGTCTACACTTAATTTGTTTTCCGCGTCATCGGGGAAAAGCACAATTTTATAAGCGTGACTCATGATTTCTAAAAATATTTTAAAAAGGCAATAACGAAAAGCAAAAACGCATTCCAATGACACAATAAGAGAAATCCTTTTATTATGCCCAGTGATAAAACTGGAGAAGGTAGAAGTGATAAAAACTAACCTCTATTATTGGCGTTACTCTCACCGCCAAGACACCGGCGAAAAAGAACAATGCGCAATTTAACACCAAATAGTGCTGGAAAAGGTTAGATTATGACCAATAATTAATTTTTATCTTTGTTTAGAGAATTTTTGTTAAACACCATTGCATAAAAAATTAGACCGAACTGAAAAAAAATCGTCTACGCTAACGACGGGGCACAACTGTCTGTTCGCCCGATACCCCCCCCCGTTCCAATAACAATCAGATGTAAAACACGAATTGTTTTCTCGCGTGCAATTTTAACCATACAAAAATCGATATAAATTCTTAATATCAACCACTAACCAGATTAACCATTGACCAGATTTCAGTAAACAAATAAGTTTTCTTCACCAGCAAACAAAAAGTGACCCTATGTATTACCACAGCAGCCGGCACAACAGCGTTTCAATCAGTATATTTTCACTATTATCCCGGTTGTTGTCTTTCCCCTCTTACATATTTTGTACGTATTGTTTTGCTCTATATTCTACAAATATTCAAACGCGTATTTCTCGACGGTAAGTGACTTGTGTGTTGAATTTACGGCGTCTCCTTGTATGTATGCGTGTGCGCCTACGAATCTGTGATTGAAGACTTTTTTTACTGGCAGAAATGTTGATGGACTGAATTTTTTCTGTATTATCATCTTGATCTGTAGCTCAATAAACGAAATATGACTAGTGCGGCCGCCACACAAACAGTATAGCAGCCGGCACTATAGCGTTTCAATGTCGATATGTCCTGCGTGCGTGCGTATGAATTTTACTAATTGTTTTATCCGAATCATGGTGCTTGTGTTTTATTGTTTATAATCGAGACATCAATGTTCTTTCTATTCAGTGATGAATATTAATTACCCCACACTAATTCACTCACATTAATAATACAGATTTTGCTCGATTTTTGTTTTCTTTTCCGAAATTTCCGCCATTTAAAAACCAAATTTTTAAGAGACGCAGGGATGCAGAATTGATAATCTTTTTATTTTATATGCTAGTACAACTGAAACGACAATTTTATTTATCAACTGATGGTCTTACAATTTCACTATAAATCCAAATTTTTCATTCGTTTTTTCAATGATAAAGCAATTTCACATATGTAGCAAAGGCATCGTATACATTTTAATGCTCCCATCAGTATCGAAAGTAAAGTTTACCATTTTTTCACAAACTTCTCCTAATTTATATGTTTGTAATGAATTTGGCTCTGGGATGACATTCCACATTTGTAAATATTTGGAATCACACGGATAAGATAACAGAGGTTTTTTTTTCAACTTATTTCCCTTGATATACACGTCTGTAGTCCCTACCGACGTGAACATTTCATTGATTTGCATTATAATGTTATTTCGTAATAAAACACAATTATTAGGAGGCTTTGTTGTCAACGTGATACCTTTATATTTCAAGCGTTTGATAATAATTCTGGCTGTTTCATTAGGATTCAATTTAGTTAATATTTCTACTTCCGAATTCAAAGCTACTTTTTGATAAAACAAAAAACTATTTTCGTGTAAACGACGACATGTTTGCGCCAAAGTTTTTTTCCACTACGAAGCCATTTTTTTATTTGCCCTAATGCATCCTCAAATGGAAATGCAGTAATATTAGAAATGGAACATTTCATGAAATGTACATCATCTGCCAAATGACACAAACTATGTATATTGCCAATTATACTGGCCTCTCCATAAAGTTCTGGCATCAGTATCACGAATTTTCTTAAAAGATTTTCAGCATTTTGGCAATCGATAAGAGCTCTACATTTAGAACATAATATTCTACAAGCGGTATGCAATAAAAGAAAATGTTTGTATAAATCTTCATTTAACACATTTTTTAGAGTCACTGGTCCTGCATAAAGTAAAATAAATTTGAACTCAACGGCTTTGAGACGATCAACTTCAACCAAACTGCGTGTAGTTCGATGGAATTCACACGGAGTTTGCGTTTGTATTTTTAGTAAATAATCAGATAACTGCATTTTTCCAGACTAGCTCAATCGTCTTTTTGAGAAATTGTTCAACCAATAAAATAAAAGTTTCTTCATGACACCGAGGCACACCAGGTGCATAAAATCCAACACAAATCTTGAAACCATATCAATTGGAGGCTGAATTGCTAGCAAGGGAGATTGACCTACATGATGACCAGCATTCGTTTGTTGACGGAAGGATTCATCAGTTTTTTCTGCAGCTGAATCATCTACAGGATATATTGTTCTTCTTTCAACCCGTTCACTACGCACTTCACATCTCTCACAAGCCCAGTAGCCCCCATGCCCTTTAATATTTTTTAATAATGCACGAGCAGGTCTGTCGCAGATAAAACTTTCGATGCAGATGTTGAACATTTGACCGTCTATAAGCAGGCCATTCGCTTGCAGTTCATTGATTTCGTTAATGAATTTTTCAAGATACTTGTGAACGTCGGTTGGCTTATGCTTAGCTGAATAAATAGCTGTCGGGAAGGGTTTGTAAACATTCTCCTCTGAAAATATTTGACATAAAATGGGCCAAAACTGTTGAGAACTGGATTTGAATAGTTGGAGGCCATCAACATTCACGAGTAAATGGATTTTATTATCATTATGAAAAACTGAATTAACAGTTCGTCTCAACGGTTCGGCAATGCCGAAATAAACAAACTCACTAGTATCTTCTTCATTAATTTCGATAACATATTCTGCTGAATTAGTTTTTAAAAAGGTTTTTGCAGTTTTAGGTAAGTCAGGGAGTAATCTTTTCCGAAGGATCAACAATAATTGATCTAAGAGGGCTAGTGCCAGTTTCCTCTGTACTGCCCATTCTCTCAATTCCTCTATTTCTCGATACTGCATGAAACAGTCGTCTGTTAATTCATCAATGTCGTCTTCAGTTACACTAGCTGGTCGTAGTTCATCGTCATCATCGGTCGTTTCAGTTCCAAGGTCGTCATTTTCATTTCTGCTTGAAGATCCCTGGTCACGACTGTTGACAAAATGTCCAGACTCAGACGCACTAGTAACTGGCGGATCAGAATCAACCAACTCATCCAAAGCATAACCTTCAATATTATCATCAAATTTTTCCGCATCACTTTGCTCATCATCACTGGATATTGTGCGATTACTCTGCTGGTTTTCGAGCCGTCTTTTTTTCCTATATCGTTTCAATCTTTCTTGCGATAAGGTTTTCTTGCGATAATTGTCAAAATCACTCATTCTTTAATCCAAAGAAATTACACAAAACTCGAATTTCTCTCTGAAACACCTTGTAAAGCGCTACGGTCATTGGCTAGGATCACGTTTATGGAAATAGAGCACGCTCTCATCAATTTCAATGCACAGAATTTCATGAGTTAATAAAATTATCGTTAGTAATATATAAAATTTATACGATTTCTTGACAAGGACTTTGAAAGTAAAACGTAAGGTGAACCTTGGCAGGCAAACCTGACAGCAACCAACTAAGGTCCTAATCAGGTGTTTACCTGGTAAAACTGGAAGGCACACCTTATATTTACCAGGTATGGCCCTTATGTGACAACAGGGCCACCTTGGCAGATTTCCAGCCGGGGCAGCTTTAAGAAGTCCTGATCAATCGCTACATAGTCTCAACGGACTCGAAGCGATGCAAAATAAGCATAAAAAAAAGTGGGATGCTGGTGAACTTGAGAGGAATGAATTTCTTCGTTAATTATTTTTCAAATTTTCAGCATCATCAACATTTGCATTCATTTGTTCAAGTTACTACAGCTCAAACTTCGCAAACGAATTAGAACAAACGAATAGAAAACCACAATGGATAAAACAAGAGTAATGGGGGGGGGGATTCTGATTTTCTTTTTGGTAGTCAAGGTAACTTGTGCCTTTCTAACGCAACAACAGGTATTCATGTAGTGAAAGAATCTCTTGTCTTCTTATTATCATTAATACCTCAATGAGAGATTGCTAATCGAACCTCTCATTGCGGGATTCATGACAATAGGGAAGTGCGAAATGCTTTCACTATATGAATACCTGCTGTTGTCAGGAAAATTCGGTCTGATTTTTTGGAGCTAGCAAGTGTGCTTTACAACCAAAGTGACAATCAGAAGTTCCTTCCCCCATAACAGTTTTTTTATCCGTTGGGCTTTTCTATTCGTTTGCTGTAATTCGCTTTCCGAGTTTCAGCTTGAGTGACTTGAACAAATGAGTGCAAATGTAAAATTTGAAAAATAATTGACGAAGAAATTTATTCTCTCAAGTTTACGATCATTCCACTTTCATTTCTATCGAGGAATGTTGAATCTATAGCCTCATATGACTTCCACTTTCTTAATGAATGAGGAAATGTGCAAACACGAGCAAAACGCGTCTGCGCCATATCCCGATATTACCCCCACCACATAAATACCCGGCAACCTGTGTAATAAAAGTAAAATTTCCTATAATTAGAGCCTTAATAATTTTATGGCTACAGCTCCGAGCCTATATGAATCGACCTACCTCTGCCTTAAAGCATTAGTAAGGCTATTTGAAAGATAATCAGCGCCTTCAAATAGTATTCGGGGTAATTCTATAATTCCATCTAGTACGCATGTTCACAGTTTCAATGAAAGGGTTCACAGTTATGTCAATGAAAGGGGATATGCATTGTTCCGACGCGGAATGTGTGGAACGTGTAAACAGACGAATCTTACAGCCTTTGGGAATTCCCCTTTGGGCCTTTCCCCCATTAAAAATTTTCTGTCCTCTCGTTTTCCAAATTCTGACATTTTCCCCCAACACCTTCATCAGTCCAGCCATAAAAGTGAAGACAGGCTAAATTGAAGTTCTGCGTTTATGGCTCACATTAGGTGATCAAATGTATAGATTTTACCATTTTACCACTTTCCACTTTCATGTTCCTTATGCCTGGATGCCTTTATGGCTGGGTCAATTCTCATAACAACTTTTCTCAGTCAGCCATTTATGATCCCTCATAAAAACTAAGTCATTCCCCGTACCTATCGCCTTTCATGACGCTCGGACCGTTTGGGCCTCACCCCCTATATTCCAAGTACCTCCTATTTTTATTTTCCTCCCTGAAAATTCCTCCAATTAAATTGCCTTTCCAATCCGCAAGTAAGCAATCACGTCTCCTTCCATTCATTCCCAGCCCTTGCAGAATATCCTTTTCAAATTTCCTTACTTTCCACACAGACAGTTCCGAAAACGAGTTCATCGTGAAAACATCCATTTTTTCCTACTTGCGAGTTATCATCCATTAATTTTGCACATCTCTGTGTTGAGAAAAATATAGTTTCATTTTCATATCAGTGTTCGTGTTAGTTAATTATTTTACATAGACAATTCGCCTTTCTACTGTTCGTGTAAAAAAAGAGCTTTCTACCCGACATTCATGTTTACCGAGAGTAGTTGGAAATGATACAAATTATCAAAAATATCGGAAAAATCAGTGGCATAGGTACACTCAGCTCAAAATCTCTTAGATAGTGCGTGGTAATTTGTAGGACTACAAAATCACAGAACGGCAAGAATGAGCGCATATCCGCTAGAAAAAGACCACGCATCATGCAAATCCAAAATTTGAATAGCATGAAATCCATAGCCAATGAATCACGAATT